CCCCTGACCTGGATTCTATCTCTTCGTCACCGGCAGAATAGCTGATTAATGTCTACAGTTCAAAATAGTAATTTTGACTGACCGGAGTCTATGGTGGGTAATTGAACGTAGTGAATTAGTTTGCTCATTCACGAAGGTCTCAATGGACACGATTATTCGGAAAAGTAAAACGATGTTCAACGACCATTTTTGGCGTTTCTAAAACCACTACTCAAAGGGAATATGGATTAATTACTTCAGTATTGCAACATCGGGATTCATCGTGAGTAAATAACAGAATAGAATAGAAAAGGTGCGAACCATGTTCTGTACATTCGCCGGCCATGCACTCTGAAATTTTTTCTCGTAAAAGCAGGAACCAAACTACCGTACCAATCACGATTATTATGCAATGAAATACACTTTTTACTTGCATATTTTAATAAATGTCGTCAACGCCCGAAAAAAAACCTCTGGGCCGTAATCGGGGATGCGCTCATCTTGTTAAATGTCTAAAAACAGAGGGTGGGCTTATACTCGGGGAGGGGCTTATACTTGGGGAAGTACGGTATTTATATTATATAACAAGTTATAGTTGTAACATTGTAAATTCTTTAAATAGGTTTATACATTTCAGGAATGTCCAAGATAAAGGTGAGGATGCATTAATGCATGCATGGACGGATGCACGTAGATCACAGAGTCATTATGCAGTGCAACTTACTTGCTGTAGTTTAGTTTGTACTATTCTTTTAGTTTTAGCTGCTTCTCGTCGTCGTTGATTTCTTTTCTGCGTTTCAGATCTTGTTTTGCTCATCTCATGAGCCACTCGCCAAATGGGATTCATAATGGGTACCTAAATAATACAAATGGGATACATAAGGCATAGCATAAAAAAGAAAAGGTACAAATGGGATTCAAAATTCTTAGCTGAAATAAAAAAAGGTACAGACGAGATTGAAAATACTTAGCTGAAATAAAACATAGCAAAACTATTGAAACCTTGCCCGCAAGGGAATAGTTGATACAACTGGTTAAGTTGAGAATAAGAATTGCCTAAATTCTTGAAATAGTGAAATTTTATAACATAATTTTGATTTCTTACTACCAAATATCACTCTAAGCTATACATTTGGGGGAGGGGTGTTGATTTTGTGATGTTTTGCTTCCATTGATTTTGTTTAGCTTTCTCTGTGTCTCTATTTTATTCCCCAAATTTGAAAAACGTTTCAACTGTATAACAAAGTATGGTGGTAATACTTGATTGGTCACATTTTTTAACGCTGTCATGAACTTCGTTAAATAAATAATTAGGTACTTTTAATGTATTTCTGTAACCATGCTGCACTATTAAAATAGTTGTTACCCAAATACATCTGGATTATAAATGATTCCCATTCACATAACAAACAAGAAGGTGTTTTATTTTTTCTGCATTATGGGTTTTTGATTTGGTAAGAATGTATTAATACTTGTATAATAACATTTTGATAACATGTAAGTCCAAGGTTTGGTAAACCAGCATCAGGGAGTCTATTTATAACATCTATCCAATCAGTACTCACAATATTCATTTGATACAGGTAAAACTGATTTAGTAATTGCATTACATTTGAAGATACTTCACTTTGACTTGTTAGTCTGTTAAGTTTGTTTATTTATTTATTATCAACCTGAATGATATCATTTAAAAATGGATATGCACCGATATTCTAAGGCCTGTTATAAAATGGTTAAAAGGCTGGACTCGGCAGGGAGGGTTACGTGGGCAACAAAGATCAGAGAGTTACTGTATCGATATGGTTTTGGAATTGTGTGGATTGAACAACAAGTTGGAGACAGCAAAGTTTTCTTAGGTTTATTTCACGAAAGGTTATGTAATTGTTATCGTCAAGAATGGTTGGCAGCGATTGGTCAATCAGGTAGATTGCGTTGTTATGTTAACTTCAAGTTTTTGTTATGGCCAGAATTGTATTTATCATGTATTATGACCTTGAAGTTTAAATTTGCTTTGGCGAGACTTCGGTGTTCAAGTCATAAATTGACAATGGAGACAGGAAGGCATAGTAATCCAATAATTCCTCTCCCGCTGAGAATTTGTCTTTATTGTCAAAGTATAGAAAGATCAGTGGTTGAAGATGAATTTTATTCTATTTTGTCCATTGTATGAGCATTGTAGAGCTGACTTGATTCCTTGCATTTCAGGGTCTACAACCAATGAAAAATGTGTTGGTCTATTAAAATCACTAAACCCGGAACACAATATAAACTTTCAGTGTATGTACATAACTTTTTCAAAATCAATGACAACTTTCTGTCAATTTTGAACGAACAGTGATGTATTTGTTTAATTTTGTATTATAATGATTGATGTGATAGGCGGAGGCCCTGACATTTAAATAAATTATTATTATTATTGGAATGACACTTATATAATTGTGCAAAGTTAACTCAATAGTCTGGATATTAGCAAATACCGCTCAGTTAACAACTACTATATATGCCAACTTATAGTATAATTATCTTATGTGACTTAATAGGATATAACTGATTGTACAGTAATAACTTTAGAAAACTGATTGCAATGAAGAATACTGAATATGCTTTACAGCAACTTATAGTATAATTATCTTATGTGACTTAATAGGATATAACTGATTGTACAGTAATAACTTTAGAAAACTTATTGCACTGAAGAATACTGAATATGCTTTACAGCAACTTATAGTATAATTATCTTATGTGACTTAATAGGATATAACCCATTGTACAGTAATAACTTTAGAAAACTTATTGCACTGAAGAGTACTGAATATGCTTTACAGCAACTTATAGTATAATTATCTTATGTGACTTAATAGGATATAACCCATTGTACAGTAATAACTTTAGAAAACTTATTGCACTGAAGAGTACTGAATATGCTTTACAGCAACTTATAGTATAATTATCTTATGTGACTTAATAGGATATAACTGATTGTACAGTAATAACTTTAGAAAACTTATTGCACTGAAGAATACTGAATATGCTTTACAGCAACTTATAGTATAATTATCTTATGTGACTTAATAGGATATAACCCATTGTACAGTAATAACTTTAGAAAACTTATTGCACTGAAGAATACTGAATATGCTTTATAGCAACTTATAGTATAATTATTTTATGTGAACTCTAGGATATAACTTATTGTACATGTACAGTAGCAACTTTACAAAACTTATTGCACTTAGTTTGTAACTCACTGAACAATGAGGACTGCTTACACACATTCTTTTAGTTTACTTAGTTTGTTAAACCACAGTCGTGAGGGACTGTGGTTAAACATTATCACGGTTCACAGTCCCTCTGATAGAGGGACTGTGCACGGTATAAGATAGTATTCTACTGTTTGTACTGATGACAGTACCAAGCTCAAGCAATTGTTGATAACTGACGTATAAATAGAAGGCATCTTCTAATAATGAACTCCAGATGGCCCTGATTATAATAAGATGGAAAAACATACTCAAGTCACACAATGGAAATGAAATGACACACATAGTTGTACAAAGTTAACCCAATGCAGCTATTTGAGAAGATTACTGCTCACAGTATAA